ACCATAAGTAAATTTAATTATTTAAAAATCCAGTGAATCAAAGTTTGTCTTTGTGGCATGGAATGATGAAAACAAAGTGGGTCTTACTAAATAAACCGTTTTCTTGGATAGATCACATTCAGCAACCTCAGTACAATTCACGTTAATAGGAAGAGAGCCAATCTATTTCTAAAGCACGCGAGGGGATAAAAGATTGCACAGAAATGTCTCCAAATTTCAGCTCTCACGAGAAACTTAGCAAAAGGTAGGAAGGTGGAGGGCAATTGCTCTTCTCATATAATCATGAATTTGGGGCCGATTTGAGTGGAGGCTTCACTAGTTCGCTAGATCTGTCCTAGTCTGCAGACGAATTCGCCTGATCACATCACAAGAGTGTGTTCTTGTTAGGAGCGAAATCATGGCATGGAGCAGAGCAGATGGAAACTGCTTGAAAAGTAGGGAGTGAGACAGTAGTGAAAGAGAAGTGTATTGTCAAATATCTAGGATTAAGAAAAGTTTCCGTGTTGGTAAAATTAATGATGCGTGATTACTTGAGACTTCTAAATTACATAAGTTCAAGCACACATTTCTGGACCATCTTGAAGCAAGAATCGGCAGATTAATGAGAAGATTAAAGCCGTCTGCACCAAGTAGTCCAGTTAATGGTTATGAGTTAATGGTTATGGCTATGGGAGCTAGGAGAGGTCAGATATCACGCGTTTGAAGAAATGTATATAAGACCGGGTTCCTGCTAGCCTCATCACACCACTTCCCCCCTACCATGAACAAATTCCTAACTTCCTTTCTCCTGAGTCTTTTGGTAGTCTACCACGTAGAGTGCTGCCAAGGTACGACCCGGACCATCAACTTCCACTTAACGAGTGACGATCCACTAAGTAACTCAACTTGTTGAACAGTTTCACACGCTTTTTTCTTTAGATGGGACAACAGGGATAAGTAGCTTTCAGAAAAAATTTGAGTTAAATATGATAAATGAAACTGTGTGGAGAATCAAGATCCCCAACGGAGTGGCCGCTCCCCTCTGTGCCGGCGACAAAGATGTGAAGTTTTACATTGTCAGTAACTGTATTGGAACTTCACAGTCGACGTGAGTTAATCACTACTATTACATGTCACCATTGTTGTGCATGCACACACATACACACACACACTCTCTCACAAATATGAACATTTTCTCCAAATTTAGTGCTTCTCAGGTGGTCATTCGTGACAGCTTCTTTGTTTTCACCAACTGCACGGGAGGTTTTCGCGCAGTGGCTGCTAAACAAGACATGAATGAAAGTGGCGAGGCGAATGCAAGTAATCAGCCAATCTCCACGTGGAATGACTTAACTGAGGCCAATTGTTCATTCGAGACAACTACGTCTGATGACTAGCCCCCCCCCTTCCCACCCCCACCCCACATACCACCGCCTATTTTGACTTATCTTAAATATCCAAAATATAGTTTTGTTGCGGTGTCATTGACTTGAATTTTAACTACTTCCCCTCGCGAACAGTGACCCTATGGAGGCCTTCCTCTTAGTGCTCCTGGTCAAGTGGGGGGGGGGGGGGGCTGGGGGGCGTGGGGTGAGGGTGAGGGTGTTTGAGTGGGAGCGAGGGGTCGGGGTGTGAGCCGATGAACAGGTTGGCGCGGGGGGGGGGAAGTTTTGTTTCGCTTATCAGGACAGTTGGTTCTAAGCAAGTTTGGTCGGCAAACCGAGTTTCTAATTCTCCGTTTTTCCAGTTTCTGGCGTTGTTATAAATTACACATTCTGATAATTGAGTTGGTGTGTGCTGTGTGAACACATTAATCCCTAACCTGTTCTAGTAATTTACAATTGGGCAAATGATAATTGTTGAAATCAACTGAGATCGGTAGAAATGTAGATCAGCAAATGACGCACAAGTTGTTGCTGTTAAGAGAAGGAGAATGGGCACTTGGTGCTCCAACGGTTGCCTAATAAGGGGACCCGATTGGATGAAATTGACCACATTCGGCACTAGGCAAGTATTTAATTGTATCAAATGGCAGGCATTTTGATACTCGTCAATAGCCCTTTAGCCAACTTTACGTTTCATAGAAGGGAAGGAACATTAAAGTAAGAAAAAATCGAGAGGTAGGAGAGGAACAGAAGAACGTTTTAATGATGAAACAGAGACAGACGCAATGGTAGAAAAAGGTGAGGTGAGTACTTTGGAAGTAGTCGAATATGACACAAAGGTGAGGTGAGTACTTTGGAAGTAGTCGAATATGACATGGAGTCAGGTCATGGTAGTTTGAAGTGAGAAGCCAACTGCCGTTTAATTGACCTGTGGAGGTAAGTCTATCGCACACCCCAGAAGAAGGAACTAAAGTTCAGCAAGAAGGACATAAAATAACGCTTTCTAACTTCTTCAAGCTTATAGATCCTTTCGATCGGCACAAGGAAGAGGATGACCCATGATTGGGAATATAATCATGATTCAAAGTTGAAACTTGGTATGGAAACTTGAACCATATTCTTCAATGAAATAAACACATTATATAAACAAATAGTTTTAAATTTGTTCGCAGATTGGAGTCTGACTTTTGAAAGACCAAATTGTCATTTCTTCTCTATCAGGAGTAATTCTCAAAGTGTTCCCGTAGATGTTGCTCTGATTAAAGTGAACACCTTTGCAGTGGCATTGTGATATGAGACTTCATTTGCAATCGATTTGTAGCAAATGGTATGAAATTTGGTGAAAACATTAAAGGGTCATTTCGTTCAGTAGATTCTGTACAACTACCAGTTGAGATGCATAACAAGGGGGATATATCAAAGCGCGGGAAAAAGAAGAAGCTGTTCATTTTTTCGTCGTCATTATCATCATCATCATCATCTTCGTCTTTCTGAAGTCGGCATGGAACCTGATAAGTCTCTATTTATAAGCAAAAAAAATAAATGATTGTTCTCATGCTATCTCAGCTGCACAAAACATTTCATTTTACAAAATCGGACAAGTCTTCTACAGCTGAATTCGTGAACAATTTGGTTTCTTCACAATTCAGTTGAAATTGATGAAATTGAATTTATATTGATGCACTCTAATCTAAGGGCATTTCGTGAAATATTGGCATTTAATTAGTAGATATTGTGAGAAAATATTGTTGAAAAATAAACTTGTATCACAGATTTTTTTTATTTTTTGGGTACTTAGCAATTTAGAATTTCAAACTGCAAATAAAAGCCTTCTTTTATCCTTAGCAACTTCTTCGGCAAAATTTCCAAGTATGAAAATTCTCCCCAAATGATACCAGCAATTTCAATTTTTAAGTACTAAAACTAAAATCATTTCAACTTGTTTGATCGCACTTGAAAGTGATCTTTGATCAACTACAGGCATCCACCCACACCCTCCTCAGAAATTGGCGTTTAAACACTTCCGGTCATTGGCAACAATTATTCCTTTGATAATTATCACAATTGGAGATGGAATGAGGTGAGGATTGTGAGATAATTAGCCGCTTCGCTCTCTGATAATTTCTGCAATGAGTATAAAAGAGAGATTGGAAACTACGGGAAATCAGAATTCTCACTCGATCAAATTTCCACGATGTACACCACTGTTGCATTATTTGCTCTCGTAGCGATCTGTAGTCTCAGTGAAGGTGAGTTTCTGTTTCAATTCACTTTCCGTTAGATTCAAACACCGTTGAATGTTAACCGTGTATTTTTCTCTCTATCTCCCTTTACAGCTCGCATTGATCCTTGTGGCATGCCAATCGATGGAGGCCTCTGCTTGGCCGATTTTCGATCATGGGGATATGACAAGAATTCAGGCAAGTGTATCGAATTCATCTATGGAGGCTGTGGTGGAAATTTGAACAGATTCGATTCTAAAGAGGCTTGTGAAAGCGCTTGTGGTAAGTCAATATATTGAGGGCCTCATTTGTTGCTACCTTCCAGAACGAACTAGTCCATGCAGTTTACCCATTGCCACTGGAAACTGTTTGGCCTACATGCCATCATGGGGATATGACAAGAGATTGGGACGCTGTACAAGATTCGTCTATGGTGGATGTGGGGGAAATGCAAATCGTTTCGAAACCCGCGAGGCTTGTGCAATGGTTTGTGGCAAATAGACGCTCTTCTGTCAATGTAGTTCTTCAACAAACAACTTCTCTCCTTCATTAAATTCTTTTGCTAATATAGCTTGTCAACACTCGAATAATATGTTGGATTTGCTGAAACTGGTAGAATTGGGGGGGGGCGTTTTGTCATTTTTGGCTTCATTTAAGTTGAAGAATAATACCTTGGAGTAAACGCCTGACATTGAGTTTGAGATTGCTGACAATATAGTTAATCACATTAGCCGCTTCGACGCCAACGAAACATATGTATACACTGGGACCTTTTACCATTAAGAGTAAATAAGTAAAAATGGGTCACTTGAGTGAAATCTCACTTTAAATGAGAAAAGGTCAACTTATGGTCATTCTTTGTTTACTATTATCTTTGTTCTTGTATTCCATTGTTTTATTCTGTGCTCCTGAGGACATATCATTGATGTTAGCGTTTCTCTGACAAAACACCACTTGGGTCTTGGAGAGACTTCCATTCATAGAAGTACCAGTAGCCCCAAAATTATTCACTGGTCCAGATTTATCAAACTGAGACCAACCTTTTAAACTATGATACATACTGCCGTGCATCACTTTTGGCTTCCGTTGAACTAAATCACCAGGTGAACAGAGGGGCAAATTCTGTCCTTCCAGAAGAGAAATCGAATCAGCATTCATCAGGGAGTATCCGGAAGGAGTTATAGATAAAGAAGGAAGACTTTTTGATTGGGACAGTGTGTGGGGCAGACGAATATTTGAAACGAGGCGAGGTGCTTCTTCAAGGAATTTATGTTTCAGAAGATCTTCAGTCGTCGCTCGATCAGCAGGATTAAGTTGGAAGCATGTCTAAAAGAACTTCCTTCTAGTGTACTTTATTCTCCTTACAATAAAAAGGGTACAAGGTAAAATTGCCTGAAGGAAATCCAATTCTTCTACTTCAATTGGAAGTTCCAGATGGGAAAACCTCTATTCAAGGCTCACCTAGAAGCAGAACGGATGTTTAAGTGTTACTGATTGTATTTCAGTAGCGATTACATAGCATAACTTTTGGTTCTGGTGACTGATACACCTTGAAAAAATGTATTTGCACCAAATACTTCTCCATGCCTCGGTAATGTATCATCTGAAGTGCGACTTCAAAGAATTTTTTGCGAAAAATAAATGTGGCTCTCTCAGATTTATCAAATGAATTTTTTTCCCAGCATGTACATCGAAATTTTAGTTAGGAAGGGAGAAGATGTAGGTTCTCTTTAGTCTAGAGAAAACTGGCTCCAACTCAACTCAGCCAGTGCTTAATTAGGTGGAATTCATATCAATTTACATAAATGATTTAATGTTCAATCCCCATTTCAAGAAAAATGTAAAGAAAATTGAGCTTTAATCATCTCAATAAAAATAATTACTAATTGCTTATAATTATATCTTCATTTTCAACACGTTCGCGGTATCTTTAACTCAGATAGTTAGAGCTTTACTTCTTTATATTCAAATCGTATCACAAATGAACTTGTAATAAATAATTTCAATTCGAATTTGCATAATCTTCGCTTCACAATTGATTTTACTTATTATCTTTTCCATCATTCTAAATCTAATCAATTAAATATCTTGTGAATGTAGAGGAGTGATGGTGGTATGATCAGAATAGTTTGAGGGATAGGTCTCACTGATTAATAATGTAGTAAACACCAATATTGAGAAATGCGTTTATTGGGACAAAATCGTTTGAGTAATTCACTTCATGGAGGCAAAATACTTTCTAGAATAAAATAATTACTAAAACTAATAGAAATGAAAAGCAATTGAGATGGAGTGTTTCGAAATGATTTCCTGCATATAACTACATTTATGAAAAAATTTTAGGAGACAAACGAAGAAAAAGGAATGTTTGAAAGCGTTTCCATTAGCGAACTCCCAATTATCTGCGTTGCCATAGAGATTGCATAAACACTGGAAACATGGGAAGTGGAATGGATATACGATCTTCTCTCCTGGGTCTTTTCGAGCAAACATTTCAAGGCCTACAACCCAATGTATTTCGAATAACCCCTTCGGGGTCAAATTTTATCGTGATGTATTTAAATTCTATCAAAAATTAGCGGGAAATGTGAAAGGAAGGCATATTAAGAAGGTGGCTAATGCAAGTATTACAATTATCAGACTGTCAATTTATGACTTTTAAAGTGTCTGTTCTCCTTCACCTTTTTATCTTCCAATTGTTCAAGTCCATTAATCACAACCCAAGAAGTCTTTGGAAGTCTTCAACTTTCAAAGACGACGTCCGATTAGTACATCTCTACTGGTCATTTCTAGTAAGTCTTTACCTGCTCTGTGCAAGCACTCAACCATTAGAACTTCGTTTATCCCCAGTATGGGCTTTTAACTGCCATAAAATCCATTTGGGATCCAAATAAAAATCCCTAGAAGAGAACACATTTTAACTGGTTCTCATCTAATATCGTCTCGGTTATAGACATTCAAGTAAAAAGGGCCATGTCAGCATGGAAGATCTCTCATGCTCATGTCGGTGTGTCTCAAAGAGAGCTCAAAATCTGGTCTGCAAAATTTGACTTCATCCTGACGAAATGTTCTTTCGAATTCCATTTCTCAATAGCCTCAAATCCAAGTAAATACCAAATGTATTCCCAGTTTCGACGTTTCACATTTGCCTCCATGTGGAAAAGGCTACGTTTGAAGTCATGCCACACTGATTTCCAATTTCCTCTTTGATCAAATTGCCCCTTTATTAAGTCTCGATGATGATGAAATGAATACTGGAATTATATAGAAAAATTATTTCTTTATATTCTTCATCAGTAACAATCAAGTTTAATGAGAACTGCAGCAGTTTGATGAAGGAATAAGCCTGGAATTATCCACAGTAATCTCTATGGCGAAATGCTCTCGAAATAAGACCAACAATTTCAACTGTAAAGAAGAAGCGATTGTAAGACTAAACTAAAACAAAACTCATTTCAACTTGTTTGATTGCATTTAAAAGTGATCTTTGATCAACTACAGGCATCCACCCACACCCTCCTCAGAAATTGGCGTTTAAACACTTCCGGTCATTGGCAACAATTATTCCTTTGATAATTATCACAATTGGAGATGGAATGAGGTGAGGATTGTGAGATAATTAGTCGCTTCGCTCTTTGCTTATTTGTGCAGTGAGTATAAAAGGGAGATTGGAAACTACGGGAAATCAGAATTCTCACTCGATCAAATCTCCACGATGTACACCACTGTTGCATTATTTGCTCTTGTAGCTATCTCTAGTCTCAGTGAAGGTGAATTTCTTTTTTGATTTACTTTCCGTTAGACTCAAGCACCATAGAATGTTAACCGTGTATTATTCTCTCTATCTCCCTTTACAGCTCGCATTGATCCTTGTGCTATGCCAATCAAAAGTGGCTTCTGCAGGGCTTATATTCCCTCATGGGGATATGACAAGAATTCAGGCAAGTGTATCGAATTCATCTATGGAGGCTGTGGTGGAAATTTGAACAGATTCGATTCTAAAGATCATTGTGAAAGCGCTTGTGGTAAGTCTATTTATCGAGGGCCTCATTTGTTGCTACCTTCCAGAACGAACTAGTCCATGCAGTTTACCCCTTGAACGTGGAAACTGTTTTGCCAATATACCATCATGGGGATATGACAAGGAATCCGGTCGTTGTATAAGATTCGGCTATGGTGGATGTGGTGGTAACGCAAATCGTTTCGAAACCCTCGAGGCTTGTAAAATGGTCTGCGACAATTAGGCGTTCAATTGTCCATCCAATGCTTCACCAAAACAACTTCTTCATTATTGATTCAACCTCTCATTTATTAAAAGTGTGCTAATATAACTTATAAATACTCGAATGATTTGTTGGTTTAGCTAAAACTGGCCGAAAATGGTCGTGTCGAGATGGAATTGATTCCTTATTAAGGTCCTCTTGCACATAAGAGATAAGAGTTTCAATGCAATGTGTGTGTGTGTGTGTGTTCTAAAATAGTTATTTGTTTCGGTGTTTACGGTATATTGAGCATGCTTTTTATCTATTACTTAAACGTATATATAACTTTAGACTACATGAAAATATTTCCTCAGAAACGGTCGATTCTGGAATGTAAATTTCATAATTTACCTTCATTAAACTGTTAACATTTGGGCTTAAAAGTTGAGTTAACGCAATATGTCAAGAGGAAACGATATAAATAAATTCTTTTAAATAGTAATTTAATATATTGCATTAATCGAAATGTCCAAGAGACGAATGAAAATGGTTTCAAATCGAGGTTTAACATTTGTACATAAAATTTGCTCGAATGGAAAACAAATGACTTCTTGACTTACATTAATCGTAAAATGTTTATGTATACGAAGTTTGAAGAATTTTACCCATATGAATTACAACATAATCAGTCGTAACACGAAGAGAATCATATTTAATTGCTGCTATGATCGTTGTGAAATAAACCACAAAATACCTCCATGAAAACATATTCATGGTTTTTTATTAGTGATGTCCAACTTTGTGAAGTGGAATGTGGAATAGGGTTGGTTTACTAACAAGACCAAATGTCGATAAACTTAATGAGCATTTAAATAATATGACTTTTAGGATCATTGAATGTTCACATTAATGATCCAATTTTATTCCATTACTACTATCCAGTACAAATAGTCATTTCTTGTCAAACGATTAGATTTAATGGATAAATTACGTAAGGATAGAGGGAAATTTCAAATCGTCAACTGTAAGCAATTCGAGTGTGATATAAATATCAAATCGTACACGAAGAAACCTGTAGATATTAATCAATACCAATTTACAAAAAATAAGATTAAGTCTCATTGAATTGCTTTATGAAACACAATAGGTCAAGTCCAGAGCATCAAGGGAACAAGAGATATTAAATGAACAGCGCTTATTACAAGTCATGACCAAATAAAGCATCGTCAGTTAATGTATTCAATGTGTTTTATTTAATAATATTATCCAAGTAAATGGGAATGTACGTGAACGCATGTTGCTTAATTTTTACACATTTTACAAAACGTTATGCAATCTCAAAAGTTGTCTACGTAGATTCAGATCAAGAAACACACTGCAAATTACAATAATGAATAATTTTAGCTATATAATTTGTTTGATTTAGTCACTCAATGCCATTTCTGAGCCTGGAAAACATTAATGCATATTTAAATTTATTACACATACATATATATATTATTCGGTAAAAAAATTAAAAAATATAAATATCTAGCAATATTGGGAAAAATTCTACGAATTTGTTGATCATGCTGTTTCCCATACATTTATCTTAAAGTTCTATAGAAATGCCATTTGAAGTTAAGTTGTGTAAAGATTCGCTTGAATAAATGACTATGACAAGATTCTGAAGCAAAATTGAAATATTTTTAACTTTTGAAAACAAAATTAGAACATTTCAGGAAAGTGAGTTAAATGAATCATTTAAATATAACGAAAGTTATGCAAAATACCCACTTATTCGATAGGCATATTTTTGGAAATTACATGAAGTTTCATTCAATTATTAAAAATTTTAGAAAAATTTTGAACTAAAGCAAAATTTTTAAAGTTAATGGATGGCCTAATTGGCAAAACTTTGATAAATTTACTTTTAACATTTTTTGTTTGTATGATTGAAAATAGATCTACTAACTAGTTCTAATAAGTGCAAGTTTTTAATTGCTTCACTTGTCTCGGTCTGCGTTTCTGCAAATGTGGAGCTGTGATGTCAGAGGAATTTCTGTTACACATAATGTGACATTCAAACACCAAACAGTGTCATTTTCTTGTGATCAGTCATTATTTGGTGCTGCCAGTCCTTATCTTAAGCGTATTTTCGACGCAATCGAAGTTGGTCTGCAGGGCAAAAGATTTCCCGGTGTTTCTGTTAGTGTTTGTCAGTATACAAAGCATGTTACCTTAGAATATGAAGAACCTCTTGACTCATTGGAGGTGATCCATAAGTATCTTCATAATCCTGAGTAAGTGATCATGTTTACATCAAATTTTTAATATCGGTATATGTCCGTTGTCACATATTTTACTTCTGTTTTTGTGTTTTGCAATAGCGGCATAGTGAAATGTGCTTGCTTTAAATGTTTTTTTTCTGGTTTAGACTCGAAGTAGATCCCTCGATTTTACCTTCTGTTTGCAAAACAGCCAAAATATATGAATTTCATGGTGCTTTTCGAAAATTTGGAAGCCTTCTTGCACGAACAATTTCTCTTGAAAATATAGGCGGTAAGTAAATATACCTTGTGAATTATTTAATATTTTGGATCAAGTTTCATAATTTGACTTTTTGGGTTTTTAGAGGTTTGTCCATTGGTTTCCTTGTCCATTAGCCGACCCGATGGAGCTGCGATTTTCAAAGATGAAACTTCTCGAGAACTTGCAATTGCAGTTAAGAAATTTATGATCGAAAATGCCGACGCCATAGCCTCATCTCAAACTGGTCAACTCTCTGCTCGCCTTTTCATCGATGTTTTGGAAGGATCCCAGTATGCAAGTCGTGAAACTATTGGTGGCGAAGCAAACACCCCAACGGAATCTGATGACTGGGACCTCTCAGAACGGGTTCTTCTCTACTGTTCGCGTCGAGTTCAAGACCAGGAACCCCTTGATGAGGGAAATCACACAAATTTGGTAGACAAGTCATCCAGGAAATTGACCAATAAAACGCATGCTTCCGCTCATGACACTGTTACCGATGAAATTCGGGTACTTTTTCTTAAGAGACTATTTGCTGCCTCGATTTCATCATTTATGACTTACTTCTTTTTCTTGCAATTTAGATGACAATACCTGATTCTCGTCTCGCCGAGTTCGACAGAAAGGTGAGTATATTGAAGTACTACCAAGTAACGTCTGAGTGACTGAATTTTATATAGAATCTTTTGAAATCCATGACGGTTCTTTGTTTCTATAGTAAGACGCAAGATGAATTTTTTTCATTGATTGAGCATGAACAAGAGGGCGTTTTTCTGTCATACCTTTATCTTTTCCTTAATGGGTTTTGTTTTGTTTGCTAAATTAAGCTGGAATATGCTCTAAAATGACCTCTTCTTGAGAGTTTTTTTGCTGAGTACGCCTAAACTTGGGCTTTAACTGCCTTCTCTTCGTTGAATTTAAACCCCACTGTTACTTATAACTTGCGCTGTTTATTAATAATTTGTTCATTCGTTCGCAATTCAGCTTTTAAATGGAGTAAAATTCTTCTAAATAAAGGGGTTTTTGTTTTCAATCCTTTGCCAACTCATATGTCAAGGAGTAGTATAAGTGAGCACGTTTAATGGTGCATAATTCGAATCTATGGACCTCTTTTATCAACTAAATTCTTTCAAGTCGATTATTATATTCTTTCTCAGCACTTATATTCCAAATCATGTGGTCTCTCCATTAAATGTGCGATTCCAGGGCCACTTCATTCTCTCATTTAATCTGTCTTGAATGATAGTTTTATTACTTCTTATTTGTTTGTAAAGTAGGAGCATTTCTGCATAACTTCAGAGTAAACTCGAGTTTTTAATGTTTGTTTGCTGATACACACTATGTAGCAAATTGCTTAAAGTGATCACGTGACAATCTCGTGGCACGTGTCTTTTTTATGCATCAAGGGTGCAGGTTACTGGTTGGTTGAGAGGCTTTCTACCAGTTGGAATGCATCACCTAAACTGGCCCTCCATTTAAGCATTGAGTGGTTAACCGCAGTGCGTACAGACTTAGTGATTAATCTATCCTCGTTTGACCTTAAAGCGCCAAATTGGCCTCTCCATGTAATGCACCTAATTTAGGCTTGATCCAGGGGTTGTTCTCGTCATTCTGGAACTAGTAGAGACTAGTATCTATTGCAAAGCATTACTTTAACAATGTATGAAATGTTATCCGTCTCCTGGTTCAGAGTTTTGTTTACTATGCTAGAAAATCGTACATGATTCCTTGATGGTGGCTGAGAATTCTAGTGTTTTCTGTATTACTAACATTACTATTGTGTAACCATTGTGGGTAGTGTTTGCGCTTCTATTTCCGTCAAAATAACAAGTACTGTACAGCAATGCTCTCTTAAATTTTTGACCTCCAACGTTAGACAATGCCCTCCACTTATTCGTTAATTGATTTCAGTTAAAACTTGGCCCGACTCTGTCAGTTGAAATTCTTCTTAGGCTATCTGCTCGCAGATATCTGACCTTATTTACCTCCATACAAACACTACTATCTTATATTTCGTGATACATGCTATTGAGTCTTTAGGTGAATATAGTCCTAATTAGTTTCCATGTGCCCATTTGGGCATTTAGTGAGGATTTTCGCCTTTAAAATATTTAATCGACTTTTAAATTAAAAGGGCTTTCTTTCTTTTGTCTCAACAATAAATCAGATCTCTCTTATGAACTTAGATTTCTTTAAAGAATATTAAGCAGTATGTAACACAATGATTGATTTTCTTTCATAAAGTTGGTTGTCAAATTAAGTAAATTGTTCTTCCATTTTATCTTGTCTTTTAAACATCAAGACGAGCTTGATTTATTTATTATTACACCCGAAATGTCTCCATACACCTGATCTGTAGAAAAATCGATTTATCTTCCAATCTTGGGGCTATCTATCAAACCGGTCTTCTACATGTGTTTTCTCATTGTCTTCTTTGGCATTATAATTTTATCCTGGTGATCTTCTGGTGAGCAAATCGCATTCTAATCCTCTCCCCTAGACAGCAGCACCATTGAATAATATTCCTTGTTTTTCTTGTCAATTCTGAGCCTTTGCTCTTCAATTTACTAGTTTCGAGCATTGAACTTTGCCATCAAATTTTATTTCGCTTCTTTTTTATGCCAGTCATCTTCTCAACAAACTTCGCCAACACCTGAGAAGACGGATCGTGAGCGAACAGGGGAAACTTCTCGACAAACAAGTAGCACAAGTGGGGTTACCGGCACACGACCTCCCTCTCCACTCTCTGACTCTGACGTAGAGACTTGCCTTCTTGCCAAAACTTCCTTTGGAGGTTGGTTGAAATCATGTCTATTTAAATGTTACAAATCAACTGAGTTGTGCTAGTAGTCACTTCCGTGAAGTGTAAACACATTGACTAATAATGAAATTCAAACGCACAAGATAATTGATAGGGTTTTAACTTGTTGTGCACTTTAAATGAGCCTACTTTTTCAATCATGACTTCTTTATCGAAAGGTTCTATTGCCTTTTTGTAACCAATAGCTTTGAGAGGCATTTTAAAGTCATATAATCACATTAGAAGATCTCACATTGGCTTCTTTTGTCTTCTAAAAAGAGTGCTTTTGTTTCCTCTATCTATTTGCCTCTATGTAGGCAATCATTAGTCTTTTTACTTACTGTGCCTATGTCTTGCATTGCTATCGTATCATAAAAAAATCTTGTTGTCAGAACAACTTCATCCTATTACATATTTGTTTTAGCTGCCATTAATTGGCAGCTAAACTGCTCAAGAGCAAGAAGGAGACTTGTTTCTTGAGTAGCAAAAGCCTTATAGCTCTACCTCTTCGCACCCACAGCCGGATCAATTTCCATTCACCTGGCTAAACTTCAAGGTCGTTTGGTGGGCTTATCAGTGAAGAGAAGATCGGCTCCCTCGGGCCCTGGGTCATCGGGATCCTCCTCGGTTGCTGGGGCTCCTGGAAACGCCGGTTTCCAGGCCCCTTCTGCTCTCCCTACCTCTATTCTCCTCCCGCCTTCGCCTCCCCCTCCTCCTCCTCCTTCCGAGCTTAACAATTCAAACGCCATGTCTGTGGTTATCCCCTCCGATAGGAACCAAACTCCTAGTGAGTCAATTTGACTAAAAACATACTTTTCCTTCATTTTCTGCACACAAGAAAAGTAAATAAAACTGCTATGTACTTCCTTTCGTTTTGAATATTTTTCATTCCATTTGAAGGTTTGTTTCTGCCTAGCATAGTAGAAGAACCAATTTATCAGTTCATTCGTACTGTGATTAAGCCGTAGTCAATAGTCAAAGTTGTTGGTAAATAGTTAAGATTTTTGCTATAACAGTGATCTCAAATGCCTATATAAGTTAATTAATTCTTGTCCATTTATGTGTTTGAACCTTTAAAATGCTAAAATGGAGGCTCCAAAAGGCCGCATACATACTACTTCCGGTTCTAATGCGCGCCAACTTTCTCTTTGATTTATTGTGCACTCGTTAGTCTCCACTCTTCCAACTTCGACTAATTACAGTTTACATGATTTTATGTGCGCTCCAATGGCGCCTACTTTGATTTGCGGTCATGAGATGAGTCATTTACATCGGTTTGACCCGATGGCGGGGTTGCAGAATCCGTGGTTAATCATACAACTAACGGTAGTTATATGTGCACTCGTAGGTGGAAAATTTCGCCATTACTTCGTCCTTTATTAATATTTTATGATTCTCAATGGTCTCTGTGAAATCAGTGCCTTGTCCCCCGGCTACATGATACTAATGTTGAAGAAATTTCTAGAATTGTTCCCACTGATATGGGGTCACAATAGTTACAGCGTTGGCTACTCTGGAATCCTCAATTTCTCCCTTTTCTTAACTCAATTACCAAATTCAAGTTGAATCATTAATTGATTTCGGTAGTGTTAATTTGAAACAAGAGGTCAATATTGTCTATACTTAATAGAGTACATTTTGGTGTACTATAGTACTATGAAACCTTTTCTAGTCCGAATGCACAAAGAGGCGTTTATATTAATAATTTATTGGACTTTGAAACATTAATGGAGCAATTCTGCATTCATTCATACTCCCTCCGTTGTGGCTATTCCGCAGCTCTTAAATTATTGATTATTATTATTATTATTGAATGCTTTATTTGCTAAATGTATGAGGTCATGCTTCAATGGTATTTGAACTAGCAGTTAATTAACCCACTTCACCTTACCATCTGGTGTGTTCACTGCAATTACTGTTTTGTTGACCCCATTCACTGAATTATTTGTGCTATAATTGAGTTAAGTGACCTTTGACCCGAAAATTATATGCATGTACATTTTATTCCCTATTTTTGGCTATTATCAAAACAAACTACTAATTTAATTTGTGTCTGTTTTGGAGGTTAGTGAAGTTATTTAAAGGTTGCAATGGTGGCGATTGCTCAAAGTTGTCAACCCTATATTTGGTTCTGTACTTTGTGGAATAGTATTTTATTTAATAAAAGAACTGTAAGGTGGATTAATTTAATCTTCAAGTGAGTTGGAAGGGGTGGCCTCCTCTATGCACATTTTTTTGCTTATAATATAGCGTTTTTGAAAACTATCGATCAAGTTTTGTAGATCTTGTTTTTTGCTGTTTATCTCCGCCCAATTTTTAAAGAACCAAGGCTGAAAATATAATTATAGTAGCCCACAAATGCTTTTGTCATTGACTTGTTATATTATTCTGTACTAGGAAATTTTTCCAACTTCCACAGTCCTTTGCAGCTTCTTTAGCAAGTAAATATCTCAAAAACTCAAACGTGCTTTGCCTTGGTTACAAATAAGCAGTTACTGCTTCCTCACTCTTAAATAATTGTCACCGATTCATTTTAAAATGCGCGAGTAACGCCTATAAGCACAAGACAACAAGACGACAAAACTATTTGCGTGTGTGTATTTCTTACTCAGCCTCCATGTCGCGTCATCCGCGAAAACTGTCTTGCTTCCGATCAACACTCCGTTGGGATTCCCTCCACCACAACTGTTTCAAAAAGTACTCTTTTAGTAGGTCCTTATCTTACTACCTCGAAACTTTCATAGTACCTCCCTCGCCAGCATGTCTTTCTCCGTCGCTATTTATTATGCCCAGCGCCTAGTCTTTATTGATTAGCATGTCCCAGCATTCTCCCCTCGAATACCCATGTTCATATCTCTAAAACCTAATATTTTTTACTCTTAGATGATCATTGTCTTGAAGATTTCTCTCCACCTACAACCAACCTACGCCGAGGTTCGGTATTCCGTTCCCTCGGATGTCTTTCCACTCCCCTTATTGAGGCCAGGTGCAGTGCTGGAGCCGTTACCATCTGTTCTTCGGTCGATGAAGTTGAAGAAGAGGCTTCAAGGCAGGTACATCATTGGATTCTGATTGCTGGTGGTACATCGGAAGGCCGATGTCTCGGTTCCACGGAGATCCTTCGTATTTCTCGACCCATAGGTTGTGGCGATAGGTCTCGAGAAGGCAATGAAAACAGGAGGGATTCTATGATGAGTAATTGTTCTGATATTGAGAGTGCTTCGAATTGTGGATTTCCTGAGTTCACGACAATGTGTACAAGACTGGGACCTCCTATGAAGTCTCCAAGAAGTCGATTTGCTCTGGCTGCACTTGATGGCGCATCATCCATCTATGCTTGTGGTGGGTCGAATGGAAATGACGATCTTGCCACAGTCGAGCGTTTGAGTTTTGACTCCGGTGACGAGAGCTATAAGAAATGGCGGTATGTTGCCAGTATGCAGCAGCAAAGAAGTTGCTGTGCTGTAGTCACATGGGCTGATGAATCGCGGATCATGGTGATGGGAGGTCAATGTGAAGGATCACCTCTTTCCTCAGTGGAGGCGTATAACCCTGACTTAAACATGTGGACATCTCTTCCATCCATGTCTGAAGGTATTGCTTGTATTCCCGTTTTATTAATTTTATTGCTATTTTTTTCTAACTGCATTTTGTATGGGATATGGCATGCTGAAAATCAAAAAAATCAGGCGAATTCTATTTCAAATTAATTTTCTGCTATTTTGGTTTTGGCCCAGTTTTCGTCCTACTCATGATATACAAGTGGGTTGGCATAATCGCATCTTCAAGGGTTTATTAAGCAGGAAACTTTCGTGAGTGACAATCACGCATTACTGGAGATTTCTCAACACTGCTTCTATGTAATCATGTTTTCATTTAGCTGTTTTGGCAGTTCTCAATTGATATGACCTTAAAACTTAAGTGCACTATGAAAGTGTCTCCTTATGCACATTCTCTTATGTGTGATTCTTTGATTCTCTATTTTTCATCAGAGCAGAGTTTTGAAGCTATTTCGTCCTCCTCTTTGCCTGTAGTGTACTTGGTAATCTCGTCCTTGATTTGCTATTCCATATTTTGAGAACGATGACAGACCTTAACTTGCATTTTTCCCCGCAGGTTGGGTGTATAATTTAATGTTAGTTAATGTATTGTTTTCTATATATTCAGCTCGAAGTCAGCTGTGCGCAGCGACCCTAAGCCAACGAGGTCTAATTATAGCCGTTGGAGGAGCTAGTGAAACTCCCGATATCCCAACCACCCAGCCCTCATCTTCGTCTGCCTACACCAGTGCCCACTTTTTCGAATCGGGTTTATCTCCTTCGGGTGAAGCTTACGATCCTCGTTGCTCACATTGGATCCGTCTCCCTGAACTGCTCACTCGGGGTCCGCTCATTGGGGCCTCTTTGGTTCCCCTCTCCTCCAGCTCTGGTGGGTATTTTATCATTCTTTTTTTCCTTCGATGTCTGGTCCCTAAACTAAGTGTTCTCGCTTTTAGGTCGCCTTTTGTTGATTGGAGGTACTGACGGAGTATCAGCAGTGACTCAAACCCAAATCTTTGATTCTCGGACTTGGAGCTGGCTTCCCGGCCCCTCCTTGTCGATTGGTCGTGCCTCCCCATGTGCTGTGTCCCTAACACCATCCGTCACTCAATTAGGGGGCATTGGTTCCTCCTCTACTATTCCCTACATAGCTGTAATCGGTGGCTACAATCTTTCTTCCGGCGGTTTCTTGAACTCTGTCGAGATTGTCGGTGTGACAGGCAGCTCAGGACAGGTCTCCCCGTTTTCTGTGCCTTCAAATGTCTCACCCAGAGGATGTGTTTCTCCCGATACCCTTTCTAACATTCCTTCTAGCCACGCCCCCTCAAATCCCAGATTCGAGGAAGAAACTGAATGCCCTTCTCAGCTTTTGGGTATCTTCTCAACAAATTAGTACATGATTGTGTATTTCATATTCCAACATTTTCACAGTACTTAATTTTTCCTCTACCTATGTGTCTGTCTCTTTTACACCTGTGAATCATTCTTCTGTCCCCCCCCCCTCTCGACTTTCTGCGACTTTGATGTCTCCCGCCCCCCCCCTCCCGGCCCCTCCATCTATAGCGTGCGCGTATTCAGACTCTGTTACACTGCCGCAAATCTGTAGTTTGCATATTGCCTTTTCTTCCCAGTTGAACTGGAGTATCGTGGGGCTGGTTGGGATTACTGCCATCCACCCACTTCTTACATAAAACCGGAAATCACACTGACACCATCCGACCCTTCACACACACACACACACTCATTCAACTCCTCTACCAACTCGTCCATGTAGAGTAACAAAAACTTAGCTATTTGCGCGCAATCAAGTGAACAGATCTGGAGTACAAGCAACAGTCATCGATGCGAATGCTTGAAAAGAAACTCTTTTGTAGCCGTTTATAACTTAGAAATGAGTGTCTGTACAGATTACAATGATTGCGAAGGCTTTATTTTAATATCAAACTATATATCGAAGTTCGTTGATTCAATGTCTGATACCTCTTACCAACATTGTAAGGTTAATTTTGGTAGGATAGACATGGTTCAAGTTGAAAAGAGAATTCTTTTTATCAATTAGCGGATGGGTAATATTTCTGCGCCTGAATAAATTCTTCGACACTGAAAGTGCAGGTAGAAGCCAATACGATGGTATTACAGAAAAAAAAGCTTTCCAACGTTATGTTAGTTGGCAAATTTAACTTGAATCACAATTTTACGCAAAGGGACCAGACCCGCATGTTGATGGGCTATTATTTATCACTCCTTAATTGCCAGTTCGTCAATCATTTATTTATTTCATATCAAATAGGAGGCGTTTTGATAGTCAACATTAGCCCTTTAATTGACTTCAGGCTTCATAGAGGGGAAGGAACATCAAAGGGATAAAAAGTCGAGAGAGTGGAGGGGGAAACAGAAGAGTGTTTCAAAGATGTAAAGGAGACAGATACAAAAGTTGAAAAAGGGTGAAGTGAGTACTGTGAAGGGGTGGAATATGACATAGAGTGGGGTGATGGTAGTTTATAGACTTTTTTGCCGTGTGAGTATACATTACCCAGGGTGCTCCACGTGAGGGTAAGTCTTTCGTACACCCCATTCGTCAATCATTATGGTTGAACATTACTCTGTGTTGGAATATGTAAGCCAAAATTGTGTCTCCGACTTAATGAAAGGGGGATTGTTATTTTCTCACAAGTCCTTGTATTAACACGAGTTATTAAATTTGCTATTACATGGCCAATTTTGCGCGTAAAAGACCTTTTAACTACTGAATTAAATACTGTTCCAATTCTTTAAACTCCTTTTCTAATAGAGGCGTTCGTAAAAATAGACTGCCACTAGTCAGTCGCGCAAATGCGCTGTTATTTGGGCGCATGATTCCAAAAATATCGACTAATCAGTTTCGAAAGTGGGATTTTAGTGTAAACACTGGAAAAAGGCAAAAAATGTTATTATAGGAGAATGAAAATTTCACCTTAAATACGTAATTTGTCTAGCAATCTTATCATGGAAAAATGAAGCTCTTGGGTTACGAACACCAAAAACACCTCATAGAATTCAAAATTTATTTATTTATATAAATCAAATGGCAGGCGTTTTGATGGCTATCATTAGCCCTTTAGTTGACTTCAGGCATCGCAGAGGGGATAGAACATCCAAGTGAAAAAAGTCGAGAAGGAGGAGGGAAGGAAGAGTGTTTAAAAGATGAAGGTAGAAAAGGTGAGGTGAGTACTGTGATAGATGTCGAATATGCCATACAGTGGGGTAATGGTAGTTAGAAGTCAGAAGTCAACTGCCGATTAATAGACTTTTTTGCCACATGAAGTCAGAAGTCAACTGCCGATTAATAGACTTTTTTGCCGAATGAGTATACGTAAGTCTATCGCACACACCTAATTCAAAAAAGTTTATTAGATTAAATATGTTGTTTTGATCCATTTTTAGTTCTGAATAAAGTGTAAGGAGTACGTGGGCATTTCTATTGAATAAATTAATTAATAAACTGGGAAATTATGCTTACTTTTATGAAAATATAATTAGTTTTGATTCACTGCTGATTGATACATCAATCCATCATCTTCCAATCAACGGTTCATTAATATCAGCCTGCGAGAGATTAAATAGATTTTACAAATTAGTGTTGTAGAAAAACTTGGAGCATCGAGATGAATGAAGCATTTCAAATGGCTTTGTGGAAGGGTTGCAAGCAGATGTGTAAATGGCAGCATCGTGCATAATAAGATACCTAAGCTCTCTCTGAACGTTTCCCACTTATTTGATGTAGTCCAACTCTTGTTGATACCCAGATTCTGAGTGAAATCGATTAATGACTTTCACAGCTTTATCATCAGGTTGGTTAAGTACATCAGGTGCATATGTTTCCTCGCATGGCCAAGTTATTAGCCAGCAGCGTTGGCTTCCAAACCCCTCTTCTTGCTTTTACTGAAAGTTAACACCACTCCCAGTCTCACGATAATTTCTCTAAAATAGGTAATTATGTGCATAAAATAGCAGTCCTACTTGAGGCGGCATTTTCAATTATATATTTGTCAATCATCAGAAATGACTTATTGTTTTAACTTACTGAAACCTTAAAAAAGCAGACACAAGTTCTAGAACTCAGTAAAAACTCGAATTTGCTTCAAATGCAGACTTTATTCATGGTTTAAAAATGAATAATCATGTTATTTAGTATATTTAAAGATATGCACGAATTTAAGACCATAATTAGTAATAAAATTAAAAAAATCAATTTTTCTTTAATAAAATACTTTTACAATTACAGAAAACTGAAGAGTTTCGATTACGTTTCCGCTTAAAAATTGTAATGCCATCCTGTTAGCTGAATGCAATATTTGCGTAATGGAATTTCTGGGTGTCTGTAGTATTCCCTTAACCAACTCGTGGCTTCAGCACTGTGGCACTGTCTACATAGAGTAGGGCACGGTGAAAGGGGAAGTTTATTTATTTATCCCAAATGGTAAGCGTTTTGACATTTATTATTAGCCCTTTAGTTAACCTCAGGCTTCACAGAGGGTAAGGAACATCAAAGTAGAACAAAGTCGAGAGGGGAGGGGTGAACAGAAGAGTGTTTCAAAGATGTAAAAGGGACAGAAACATAGGTAGAAAAAAGGTGAGGTGAGTACTGTGAAAGTAGTCGATTCAGAAGAGTGTTTCAAAGATGTAAGAGACAATAGAAAAAAGGTGAGGTGAGTACTGTGAAAGTAGTCGAATCTGACATACGGTGGGGTGTTGGTAGTTAGAAGCCAGAAGTCAATTGCCGAATAATAGACTTTTTTGACGTATGAGTATACGTTGCCCAGGGTGCACCACGTGGAGGTAAGTCTATCACGCACCCCACTTCAGGATTCATAGAGGGAGGAATAAGCAGTGACAAAAACTCGAGGGGGGGGGGAACTGAATGATGATTCACAGACAGAGAGACACAAAGGCAAAGAAAAGGGTAAGATGAGTAATGTGGAAGGGGTCGAATATGACATACAGTCGGGTCATGGTAGTTTGAAGTAAGAACTCAACTGCTGGTTTATAGACTTTTTTCAGATAACAAGTAAGTGCGTTAAAATTCAGAGGTGCGCTCAAGTCACTTCTGTTAGGACTTCTCACTTCCTCAACTTGTAAAGTGAATGGTCTTTCTTATGATGACATGTGATTCTTTATGGTTTCTAAATTAATGACACTTCACCAAGTCGAGTGCTGCAGACGTCTGTCATGTTGGTACTTAATTCAGTGGTGTAACCGAGCAGAGCAATGCATTGCTAATAAAATAAATATAATTATAGGAAATATTTATTTATATCAAATGGAAGGCGTTTTGGATAGTTATCATTAGCCCTTTAGTTGGCTTCGGGGCTTCACAGAGGGAGGGAGGAACACCAAAGTGACAAAAGTCGAGAGGGGGGGGGGAAGGAAGAGGAGAGTGCTTCAAAGATGTAAAAGAGACAGACACAAAGGTGGATGAAAGGTGAGGTGAGTACTGTGAAAGTAGTCGAATATGAAAGGTGAGGTGAGTACTGTGAAAGTAGTCGAATATGACAAATAGTCGAGCCATAGAAGTTTGAAGTCAGAAGTCAACGGCCGGGTAATAGACTTTTTTGTCGTATAAGTATACGTTGCCCAGGGTGCACCTCGTGGAGGTAAGTCTACTGCGCACCATTATGTCAACCATTTTTAGTAAGCTGGTCTTGAAACCCACATGCCAACTTCGCCGTTGGACAGAGGACATGCTGCGATCTAAATCGAACACCAGCTAGGTCCAGTGTGATATCTATGAAATTCTCTGCTTCATGTCAATCAATGTCGTTAAGTTTGCGAATGGGATTTTTTGCGAGAGAAATTTTTAGGAATGCAATGCAAATTGGAATAAATCCAAATTCTATGGATACTATCCCGTTGTTCTAAACTGGTCAACAAATTAATTCACACAGAAATGTGAAATTTAGTATCCGCTTCTTTCTCTATACTTACTACTCCAGAGGTTTGTACCTTTCACCTTTTGACGTCAAGGAATTACGAAAGGATGTGAGTGGGGTGTTTTAGGTGCATAGTTGGGTGCATATTTTTCAAGCGGCTTTATATTAGTGAATTATTTTTTCGAGTTGTTGTGTCATCGCAGTTCTTCTAAGATCAGTGTTTCCGAACCGAGCAAAACTGTTTATGGAAATCACGTGGCCATGAGGCGGACACGTAGAAACGATCTCTCAAGATCAAATAATAGTAATTTTCTTTAAGTGCCATTTAATTTTATTTATTCCTTTAAATATTAATTTTTACTAATTTATTAGAGCAAGTTCATGCCTCACTTTTGTCTATTAATTTAATTTCATCTTCATGGGGGTGTGCGATAGATTTACCTCCAAGTGCTGCACCCTGGGCAACGTATACTCATACGACAAA